CTGTTGGGAAAATGTATTTTTTGATTAATTCTTAGTTATTCATTAAAGAAATTGAATACAAATTAGTGTCTTATTGGTCGGTCTTATGTAGATCAAATATATTTGAACAGATACAAATTAAAACATATTGTATCATAAAATATAATGTACACTTTTAATCTACATAATGGAATTTAAATGTCACACACCACCATTCAATACCGATTTATTGATTAACAAAAGTAAATTACATAACTAGTATTATTTTTAGTAAAAGTATGGGTTTTGCTGATTAAAATGGATCCCTAAAAATAAAGTCGCAATGCAAAAGGAATGCACGACGGAAATGTATATTACGTGTTCCGTTTGGAATAAAAGTTTGTTATTATTAGAATTGATGGCGTCGTGCGAGATAGATACGTCAACAAACATTTTGAGGTTAACTTATAGTTTTCCCGCCATAAATAAAATGGCGGTGGTTGGTCCGAAACACACGGTGAATGTTTGTTTTTCCTTAAAAATAAAATTGTATAAATTATAATAAGATTGACTAACTATAGTTACTTCTAATTAAGTTTCATTTGGAACTTGGCAAAGTTCAACATTTAAAAACTTAAAATTATCAAAGAAGATTTTTTACATTAATGTTGAAATATTGAAATTAACAACCACTGTCCAAATATGGAAATTAACAACTTACTCTACTAATTATAAGTAAAACGTCGCTTTCCCATCAATATAGGATCTTATATTCAACCCGATTCTATTATTTTGCACCACTCCCTATCTTTCGGGTCTTCTATCCCTTTTACTCTACATTCTACTTTAGGCAAAAGGGGTTGATAGATCCAAAAATACTGTTACGGCTTTAGAGCAGCCGCAGATCCGTATTCCGTATTCTGTATTCCAGAATACCGTTTCGTACTCACTATTTCCGGACGAGAACAAAATCAATATTCACTCGGATACAGTTTGAATGCAAAGCCCAAACGTTTTAAGGGTACCTATTTAGTTTTTTGTATTTATAACGTCCATTAGTATTCGAATTTCGAAACCAAATTGTGAACGACTCTAGTAGGATTTTTTTTTCTATTAGGCTGGGTTGCACCGTCTTACTTTGACCATAACTTAACGATGACCGGTGTTTTTTTGTATGGAGTTTGACAGATATTTGACGTTTGTCAAAGTTAAAGTAAGATGGTGCAACTTAGTGTTAGTATGTCCTAAAATAGGTGGGTATGTCAAAATGCCCGGAATGTATCAAGCGTGCTCTATCAATCGCTGAAGAGATTTATTTATAAAAAGACATGTAAAGCTATGAAATTCTTTACGAATAACTCCAAAGAGGCAACTATGAACCTACATAATCTCAGTTAACTGTTTCAAACTAGACAAAGAAACGCACTTGTTGTATTTTTCTTTATTATTTGGACCCGCTTCTAAAAATTACTTCATTATNAGTTACCCCTGTGTCCTATGACTGAAAAAGATATGTGTTGTCAATAATAGATGATTTTACAGACTACACCGAAACTTATTTACTCAAGTATAAATCCGAGGTTTCAACGTACCTAAAAAGATACATACTAAAAGTTGAACGAGAGTTTGAGTTGAAAGTCAGCAAAATAAGGTGTGATAATGGAGGAGAATATACAAGCACTGAACTGACAGAGTGGTGTAACGATAAAGGAATAAAACTGGACTATACTATCGCATACACTCCACAACAAAACGGGAAAGCAGAACGCTTTAACCGCACACTGATGGAAAAAGTGAGAGCTATGCTGTTTCAGTCAGGTCTCGAAAAAGACATGTGGGGTGAAGCAGTATGTTCAGCGACTTATATTATAAATAGAATTCCTAAAGATACTAAAACCCCCATTGAAAAGTGGACAGGGAAACGACCTAATGTCAAAAATGTGGTAACGTTTGGGTCAGAAGCATATGCGAAACGACTCGTAGCGCTTAAAAAATTGGATGAAAGAAATGAACAGCTTATAATGGTTGGATATGCACCAACAGGATATAGACTATGGAATCCAAACACTAGAAAAATNTTTCACTGTTAGGTTACATAAGTGGGTAATGACGGGTATAAGAACTGGACAGGACTTGAAGATTCTGGCTGACAATCCGTCCCATCCCACTGCACAGTCATTCCTGAGGCTCATAACAATGTCTTGTACCTCCCTTTCATCGATCTCTAGAATAGCCATCGAATGAGGAGGAGAGTACTGATGTGAGTACTGATCTGAATAAGAACCGAAGAAACATCAGAACAAATACTTAATGAAGAAGAAGAAGAAGGAAAAGGCCAAACAAGAACTGAAGAAATATCAGAACAAACACTCAATGAAGAAGAAAGAATCCCTATGAGAAGTTCAGAAGAAACAAGACAAAGTACACAAAATTCTAAATCACGTTATGGAAGAACCTTAAAGAAACCTAATTACTTAGAAGACTACTCACTATTGGCAAGTGAAGAAGAAAGAAAAGAAGAAGCATCCATGACATATAAAGAAGCCATTGAACAAGAAGATTGGATACAAGCCATAAACAAAGAATTACGAGCGCTGGAGAGCAATGAAACCTGGAAAGAAGTAAAATTACCTGAAAATAAGAAAACAATTGATACGAAATGGGTATTTAAAGTAAAAGATGATGGTACAAAGAAAGCAAGACTAGTTGCACGTGGATTTCAACAAAAGAAAGAAANAGAAAAATTGTAATCCGACGTGATGTTATATTCAAGAAACCAGAAATACGAGAAGTAAAACAAGATGACCAACAAACAAAATTTGTTTTCGACAACTCTCAAGAAATAATAATTGAAGAAGAAGAAGAAGAAAAAGAGCAAATAATAAATATAAANGCAAGAAAGTGAATTAGAAACAGTATACTCACCTGTTGCTAGAGCTTCTACCGTCCGTTTACTAATATCGAAAGCAATAAATGAACAATTAGATATCAAACAATTAGACATACCAACTGCTTTTCTCAATGGTAAAGTGAAGTCTGAAATATACATAAAACCACCAGAAGGTTATATAACAAAGGAAAATAATACAGTATTAAAATTGGAGAGATCGCTATACGGATTGAAAGAGTCACCCAAATGCTGGAATGAACGAATAAATCAATTTTTTGAAGAAAATAATTTCCAAAGATCAAAGTATGATACCTGTTTATACTATAAAAATGATTGCTGGATAATATTATATGTGGATGACATAATTTTAATAGGGAATTATGAAGAAATTATAATCAAACTAAAGGAGGAGTTTAAAGCAAAAGAGCTGGGAAAAATCAAGACATTTTTGGGAGTAGAATTTACAAGAAAAGAGGACTCTATTGAAATTACACAAACAAAAATGATAGAAAAATTATTAGATAAATATAATATGAATGAATGTAAAGATATGAAAACTCCAATGGAAATAAACTTCAAGATACTACACGAAGAGGAAAGTAAAGATGAAATTAAAGAGAGATACAGAGAACTAATGGGAAGTCTACTTTATCTAGCTACGACTACAAGACCAGACATTGCATACTCAGTGAGCTATTTAAGCCGGTATCTAGATAAAGCAAATGAGAGTACATGGAAAGCTGCTAAAAGAATACTGAGATATCTGAAAGCTACAAAAGGAAAAGGGTTGATTTTCAGGAAAGGAAGTACATATGACTTACATGCTTTTTCAGATGCAGATTGGGCAGGAGATGACAAGGACAGAAAAAGTGTAAGCGGAGGAATCATATTGCATGGTTGCAATCCAGTTACTTGGTTCTCCAAAAAACAAGGCTGCGTGGCGCTCTCAACAGCAGAAGCGGAATATGTGGCCGCTGCTGCAACTACACAAGAGCTGCTGAACCTCATCGGAGTGGCAAGTAATTTGGGTTGTCTGAATGATGTAAAACTATTTGTTGACAATCAAAGTGCAATACTGATGTCAAAAAGTTTTGAAAATTCAAAACGAGCCAAACATATTGACATCAAATACCATTTCTTAAAAGATATCATAAGTAAAAACATCATATCAATTCAATATGTAAACTCTAACAATAACCTTGCTGATATTATGACTAAAAGTTTATGTTCTGAAAAGTTTAATAACATATGCACTAAAATAATTGCTTAGCAATTTTATGATTATCCTAATTGAAAGTATGGCTTATGTTTGTTAATTTAGAGTCATAGATTTGTTTAAAATTAGTTAAATAAATAAATAATAAAGTAATTAGTTTAGTTATAAAATTAGTTTAACTCAATATTTGTAAGAAAACCTTAATGCATAATTGGACAGCAATTAAGAGGTGGTGTTATCGATTATTGTATCTGGCTGGTAATCGCTGTTCCAATGCCTTAACGTTTTTATGATTAAAAATATATTTTGAAGTTTCTGTGTGGTCTATTGAAAATAAAAGAATGGCGGCGATTGCCTTCGTAAGATCGTAAAAACTGTGTTTAATTTAATATCACAAAGTAAAACTTAAAACTCATATAACTGCTGATCTCTTCGCATTTCCTCCTTGTCATCAAACCTCTGTCTCTGCAAGAGTGTGAACGCTTTCCTGCCGAGGAGATGCAAGAGTTTCATCTGGCACTGTGCGCTTGAGGCCGTGGAGGACGCTGCTTGTAGCCTAAAAGTGTGCGAGACCCGTTGGACCCCGGAAGAAGAGAGGAACGTTCAGGGTAACGGCTTATAACCGCATGGCTTCCAAGGTACCCACTTTTCCATCCTTCAAGTAGGAGTCTTTCCGTCCTGACATCGTGCAGTTATCTTAACTAGTAGAGTCTTTTAATATTTAGGCTGAGTTTTAAGAAATTTGTAGTGGCAATAATATTCACCAAACCGAACCTAATTAACGACCCTGAATCCCTTGAGATTGGCACTATCTATTACAGTAGTTATAATATCGTAATTGTTACCTGTACATGAGCTAACGAGATAAAAATAAATTGTGTCAATTGAGAGGGAGCTGTTTTATTTAAATTTTTTAATTTCACACAAGGAACGGTACTTATATAAATTTCTGCAAGCCGGACAACCTCTTTTTCACGTGCAGACAATTCACCATCGTCTCAGTCTGTACCGGTGACGGTTCAATTCCAGTCACCAAGCCGCCAGGAAAAAATCCTTTCTTGCAAACTGTGTGACTCTATGGACAGAATGGCGGGTATTTACAAGCCGCATGAGCCCAGGTCGGGTAGGGCTTTGCCCTGGCACTTGTTGACCCACGCCACCCACGCTTGGAAGCCGCGCTGCCCAAAGATCTTCTTGGCGCATCCCACTGCTGCGCTGATGTCGTCTTGCGTGATATCTGGGAAGAAAAGGGAATTGATATTTAACCATGTGAAATATAAAAGTTGTAGTTCTCTAGACTGTGTTAAAGTAGCGTAAGTAGCTAGTAACAGTTAAAGCTCTAATAATCCTTGAGATTATTGATTGGTGTCTGTTATAGAATATTCTTATTCTCTCTTTATAAATAAAAATCTACAACGGGGGAAGTACTAAGTGCGAAGAACACTTGCATTTATACCCGAAATCGTGGCTTTATATGATTTGGCGCTTGGAAATCATTGTAACTGTTGAAAAAGTTACTTGAGCTGTTGGTGCTGTATCTTTGCTCTACCTAAGTCAGCAGGGGTGATAATTACCAAATGGAAAAATGAATGCAAAATATACGTACCACTGCACCTCACGTTGCACTCCTTGCCAGGGTTGGGGCCATTCTCGCACCAGTAGCGGTCGTTGATCTGGAACAGGCCGTGGTCGTGCGAGCCGTCCGTGTTAGGCCCACCGACCACCTCGGTGCGTCCTGAACTCTCCGCCTCTACTAGGCACACCCCTGAAAATACGTTAAGTTAATATCTTCTACTTCAACTCAATGATCTTTGTCTTTCTGATTTTCAAGTTGTCTTGTTTTTTTCAGACCTATTGAACTTGGTACCGGTCAGTTAATATACCATTTCGTAGGAATATTAGCTTTATGGTACCGTTTCAATCCTAGATTTGTTAGACTTGGTTTAAACCTGTTCTTAGAATTTTTGTGTATTAAGATGACAAATGGTAAAAGTGAATGTCGATTCTACATTCCAGTATGGTTGTATTCACTGAACACAGAAAAGCTATTGCTAAAAAGGACTAAATATTTTTTCCCTAAATAAAAACAATATAAAATAATTTTGAGACATTTGAATTTTTTTTAACTAGTTAAATAAAATAAATAAACTTTGAGACATTTGAAAATTATCAGGTAACAAAGTATGATTAAAAATTTGAAGGCAGCGATTTGGTAGAATAAAAAATTTCAGACTCACAATCAGCCAATTGATGCCGCGGGAACCCATGGTTATTGAGCTCACGAGCTATCTGGCAGCGGTCCATGGTCCTCCCCTGGCATAGCAGGATCACGCACAACTGAACCGTAGCGAACAACACGAAACGAGCCATCTTTTCGAACAACTTTGCGACTACAACTCAAGGTGTCCAGTCAGGTTATGTGTGTCAAGGATCGCGATGCGTTTTTATATGGTGGTCGGGACGCATGTATATGACGAATGGATTTTAAAAACCTGTTAATAAAGCCAATTATTGAATATCAAAGGTTTGTTAGCGGCTCGGAATTTCCTTAACTTGAGAACTTTGAGGAAAGGAAGTTTGTTTTTTTGTGTTTACAATATTGTTCAAAGCCTAGGGTGGATTTGCCTTTGTGTTATTTAAAATATTTTCACAAGTACTTTTGAAAGCAGATTTCGGCTTAAAAAGACCTGTTTGTCTTACACATCACCTTATAAATAATAATATATAATAATAAATAAAAAATTACACTGACTGACAGACACACGTTACTGTATTTTAATTAACAAAACTTAGGACTTGAACAGCTTTTTAAAATTACTTACTTAGCAATCATATTTTTAAAAGTCACTTTTTGGACTATGTAGGCTAACTTATAACTCACACACGTACGTAATCTTCACAAGATCCAGAATTCTTGGGCCCAAAAGGTTTTGAGTTTGATTTTCTATTCGATCATTCATCATAAAACATTTCAAGAAATTGTGGAAATCCTTGGGAGAGGTCTTTGTCCAGCAGTGGACATAATTTGGCTGAAACGAACGAACAAACGAACGAACATTTCAAGATAGTACTTAATAAGTTGGTTCCTACTGCATTTACATGTGCCTAATACTTAGGTAGTAACTTGTATTAGGTATTATCTTTCCCACCAAGTATTTTCTTTTATTTCGAAAAGCAATTAAAAATTTCCGTTGGTGAAGTTTTGCATACTACTAATATTATAAATGCGAAAGTTTGGATGTCTGGATGTTTGTTACTCTTTCACGTAAAAACTACTGAACGGATTTTGTTGAAACTTTACATTACTTATTATTTTTTATAACCCAGAATAACATAAAGGCTATAATTTATGACGATATGTGACAAACTAAATTTCATGCGGGTGAAGCCGCGGGCAAAAGTTAGTTTGTAAATATTTTGCTCAGTAAGTAGTTCACAACATCAAATCAACGTGTCATAATCATCACAACATTATGACAAAGAGCGACTTTTCCCCATTTAGGTGAGGTTTATCCTGAGGAAAGAAGATAATGTGGAAACTTGTGGAAAATACAGAAAATTTTACCGTGGGTCTGATAAATTTTAACAGCTAGGTGAATAATTTCCTGTTGAAATACAAAAATCCAATCTTAAAATTCACAAGGTTGACTTATTTTTATTCCGCAATTCATTAGTTCAGTAAGATTTGTCCCGTCGACAACGACTCTACATTTCTTATGATGAGTCTAACTAAAGTTATCTTAAACCCGCCCGCGACTTCGTACGCGTGCATCCCGTTTTACCCCCTTAGGAGATAAATTTTGCAAAATCTCGTCTTAGTGAGCAACTACGTTCTAAAAGGAACCCCCCATGCAAAATTTGAGACTCCTAGCACTTGTAGTTTCTGAGATTTCGTGATGAATGAGTGAGTCAGTCAGTCAATCAGTGACCTTTCGGTTTTATAGATACAGACGAGCTTTATATATTATAGATTACTTAATTAGGTATGCGTGGCCATTATCATAAAAGATGCAAAAACCATTCACACGCACGCCAAGTGTCGCGGATTCAATTTCCACCCCGTACAATATAAAGTTAGTAGGTATGGATCTGGTGAGACAAGGTTCTATTATAGTTGCTTAGTTTGGGAGTGTACCTATAATTATAGGTGCTGTGTAAAATAGCAGAAGCATTTTATTTATGTATTTGTATAACTTTAACTAAAAACAAAACATGGCTTACATAAACTGACACCGTCAAAACTGTAATGCAATTATCATCATTAAAAGGGGCGCGAATCTCAATCAACATTCATCAATCAGATATTATTCGTATTATGTGTATAAGTACTTATTATGTACCTACCTACTACCTACTGTATATTACCTAGGTACCCTACCTATAAACAAAATGTAAAACGCAAGCATTTCGCAACTAAATCTAACTGATTATGTTTCGATTAGTAGATAACATCATGATAAATTAGGGATTACGTCGATTTAATTATAAGATAGAGTCGTAAATAATCACGTGTAAAATACTTGTTTTAAAATAATGTGTATTAATTCAAATTATGAAACATTATTTCAAACTTTTCATTTAATATCTACGAAAGTTTTAATAACGTCACTTAACTTTGCTTTTCCTAATAATAGGAAGTAGGACTATATTTAGTAGATAGGTAGGATATAATTAGAAAGAAATAAATGAAAACAACGGAGTACAAAACATTGTTTAATGTAAGTAGTTAACAAGTCGTATCAAACCTCGTTACATAGGTAAGGGTTATCACATTTCACTACCATATTTTTAACATAAATAAGTCTATTGAGAAATTAAGCTCAAGTCAGAGAGCTTTCACAGTATCCAACTTTCTGCCAAACATAATTAGGAGCTCGATCAAACTTCTTGCCATTTTTGAGCATCGCGACAGATTATTCTATTTTTGTATTTCAAAGGGCTTTTGACTGTTAGCCACTCTCATAACTTTATATATTTTCAGGCTTTCATTATTTTTCACTTTGGCAGGTATTAAACAAAATGTTTACCATCCTTCCTGTCCTCTGCCATGGTGAGTTATGTAACTTATTGATCTAGGTACAAATATTTTTCCCAAGTTGAAAAACCCGTGTCACAATTAAGTTGACACTAACATCTGTATTTACAGTAGGTAATTGGTCATCTTTTTAATCACACACATTGCATTTTAATGTTTATCCTCCGAGAATATGTATATTTTCCTCGTCGTTTGACTGGGAGTGTACGGGTGGTAAGGGTGTAAACTTACCGTCTTTTTTGTGAATATAAAGAGCGACATTTTACGTGCCAACCCAACACCAATGTCGATGCTTCTGTGCCTTGGTACGTCCATCATGGGGATTTCTTCTTCTTTTTCGGTTTTGAAGCAATTCAGTTTTCGGAAACTAGTGCGCAGTCTCCCGAATCTTGGCCTCAAACCTGATTGGAAGCTTGAGGACCTTTTTAACTTTGTTCGGGAATCGCTGGGCTCCTCTTCTTTCTTTGTCTTTCCATATCTAGGTGGACTAGAATATGACGCTGATTTGGTGAATCCCTTTGATGATTCCCCCGCGGGAAGTAATGGATAGTCCTGTTCACTCATTACTTTTTCACATCTTCAGCGCTAGGGAGCGACCTGCGTCGAACACTATACGGCAAGCTCTGGGTCTGGCATTGATTGACCGTGGTCTTGACGTGTGATAGATAAGATACTGCGGCTGTGATCACAAATTTTATCTGCGTGATTTAGACTGGATAAAGTATGATCAACGGAAGTGATTTAGGTGGGACATTGATAAACTTTTTTGCTTACGACGTAATTAACGAATTGTAATGATGTTGCTTGAGTGTAGCGCCTTTGGAGTATTTACCACTGTATTTTACTACTCTGCGAGTTGCATGATAAGGAAAAATAGGTAAAATTAAAATGTTAAGACTAACATTATTTCAAACAGGAAAGATAAAGTACTTAGTAAAGGCGAAACACATAAGAAATGATTAGCAGTTTTAACGTGTTTTTTTTTTTGGGAAATCTATATCTTATCGTTAAAAAGATTATCCGGCTTATTTACTTTATGTCCAATAATATTTATGTACCTATTTGTAAATAATACATAGGTACAAATCTTAATATTTAAATTTTATCTAACAACCCGTAGAAGTTTACCAATAGGTACAAAACAGGCAGGCAATGCAGACATGTCTATGAAAGATTGATAAAAGCAGTAAAAAAGGCAAAACAAATTCGATTGTGGCCTTGTGTGCATTAACCGTGAGGCCTGTTGAGATATCTTCCGTCTATGTTCACTTCGGAATGGTCCCCTGTTAAGTACTTTGTACTTAGGTAAGTATTTGTTACAAAACACTGCACCTACTTAGGCCAATGCTTCCTTTACTCCGTCATATTTCATCACACACATGAGAGTTGGGACCCTCTTTTGGGACCAAAGAATTAAATAGAGTAGCATAATTCCCAAAAGATGTGGGATTGCTTTTATTCACGCAATCCTACCGATTGTACATTACTACATACTTACTTATCTAGTCGTAGAATTGAATGCGTGCAGTGCTTGTAGGTAAGCTTAACTATGTACCAAACATAACTAGATGACCAACTTCGATATTTTCAGGGATAATGTTGTTTTTCTGCATCCCTAGATTGGCACAAGGTATTAATTTCTTTTCATACTCTAATCTATTTTATGCTGAGTCTTGTATGACAAATACATATTATTATAATACGTGTATGTAGGTAAGTATAAATCATGTATTAAGTAGGTAGGTTCCTATTATGTAAATCTACAAAGGTGTCTGTTTTGTGACTCAACATTATGTAAATCTTCAACCATGTCTGTTTTGCGATTCTACATTATATTTCTCGTAGCACACATCTCGTAGCCAGCTTGAAAACTCCTTGTGCTCTGCCAATTTAAATAGTTTGTTGTATTATCTGGTTAAAATTATTCAATACTTGCATTACTAGATAAACAGTATTTTAAGAAGATTTTGGTCTGTATCCTTAATTCATGACTTAGCCACATGATCACAATACGAGTACCTACGCTATGTATGCTATGATTTATAAATGACGTAAGTCTGCTTGTGCTGAAGAAACAGTACATTAACCTTCGTCGTTGTAGGCAGACTCTAGTTTAATACGTTTGGTGATAAGGGAATGTATGAACATAGATGCATAGGGTGCGTACCCTTAAAGGTAGGTAGGACTAACTCTATTATTGTGATTGCACGCTAACCAGCTCGACAGTATAAATTAAATGCATGGCCTCAAGTTTTTCTCTAAAAGGCGCTGCCAATGGCGTGATAGTCGCAAGGTTGGCTGACTTCGCTCTCATTTTCCAGTATGACGAAGTTGCAACCAGCCAGCGGTTATCGGGCACGACATTCCGTCCTTTTCATACAGTGAACAAAAGGCAAAG